CGGTGGAGCAGAGTGCGGCAGTGAGTCTGTGCCCACCTGTGCTGCTGCAGGATGGCAGCGGGAACCCATGGGCAAGGACCCCCGGAGTGGGGTGGAGGGTCCTCTGTGGGCCCAGCTTGGCCAGCACAGGGACCCACCTGCTCCTGCCTGTGCCCCCAGCGAAGATCCAGTTCCCTTTCCACGCTTGCGATGTGCGGATAGACAGCGACTGCTTCATGGTGTCCCCCGAGGCCGACACCTACTATGGAGCAAAAATTAAGTGCCAGGTGAGCTCATGGGATGCTCCGGGCATCCTTGTGCATCTGGAAAGTGCCACCCATGCTCACAGCCCTCCCGGGCATCTCTCCTCTGCCTGGCGCAGGGCTGGGCCACACGTTTGGGGCAGACTCACTCCCTTCCCTGCAGGAGAAAGGGGCGATGCTGGCCCAGATCAGAACCCAGAAGGTCCAGGACATCCTGGCTTTCTACCTCAGCCGCTTGGAGATGGGTAACAGGGTGACAGACACTGATTTTGAGACTGGGAACTTCTGGATCGGTGAGTGACAGCAGTGGGCAGGGTGCCCGGGGTGGCAGCAGACATGCCAACCCACCTCCCACTCCCCCAGGTCTCACCTACAAGACATCCAAGGCTTCCTTCCGCTGGGACATGGGCGAGCCATCCTCTTTCACCAGCTTTGCTTTTGGGCAGCCGGACAACCAGGGGTAAGTGGATCTAGAGGACACCGAGCCCTGCGTGGTGTCACCGCTGTGCCACTGCACTGCCTGGCTTCACCACCCTCCCGCCGGGACACAGGTTTGGGAACTGTGTGGAGATGCAGGCGTCGGCCGCCTTCAACTGGAACGACCAGCGCTGCAAGACCCGAAACCGGTACATCTGCCAGTTCGGTGAGTGAGGGGCTGGGGGCCCTCCCGTGTGTCCCCAGGGCTGCCAAGCCCTGGGGGTGCCAGTCTCCAGCTCTGCTGGGTCTGTCCCTTGTTGCCAGCCCTGCCCAGAACTCTGGGTGCTTCCTGGCATGGGGGGCACTGACTGTCCGCCTTCCATCCAGCCCAGGAACACATTGCCCTGTGGCAGCAGGACCCCTGAGCAAGCAGCCCTGGGAACTGGCCAGCGCTGGCTGCTGTGCCAAGCCTGTGGCTCAGGAAGACCCTGATACTCTGCCAGGCCTGGACCATGGCTCAGAAGGATCCCCCCATGGCTCACCTGCACAGGGGATGGGGGATTGAGGGGCCCCATGGCACTGGGACCTGGTGAGAAGGGGTGTGCTTTATGTCAGCATCCCCAAAACAGCGTCTTCTTCTGCCCCTCACCTTCCTCTCTCACCATCACACTGTGACAACTCCTGGGCAGGAGATGCCCCTGCAACAGCCTGGTACAGCAGCATCCTTCTCCGAAATTGGCAGCTGGGCCATGTCTGGACTGTGGTCTTGAAGTGACAAGGGGCCAAGGGGGGCTCCAGGGAGGTGCAGATCTCAGCACAGCTGAGGGTGAGGACCAGGCTCAGCTCTGAGCCATAGTCCCGACCTGTGTGGGAACCTCCCAGCCTGCTGGGTTCCTCATGATCACCTGACCCTTCATCATCACCCAGTTCCTCACCACCACCATCTGCCCAGCAGTTAATAAAGACCCTCTCCCCCTTGGGAAGAGCAGTTTGTCTTCCTTTGCTCTCTCAAGCCCACCAGACTCTCCCTAACCACATCCCACATCCTGCCTGCACTAGGTGGTACCTCCATCTCCATCCCTGGAGCAAGTTCTGGGGTTGGAGGAGCCAGGACCAGTCCAGCCTCTGGCTGAACTCTTGTCTCCAGCACCTGGAGGGGTTTTGGAAGGGTGGCATTAGCCAAGAGGTGCTTCTTCCAGCCCCAGGACAGCCCCAAGTCAGGGCTCTCCACGTGCTGAGTGAAAACCTGTGACTCCAGCGCTGGTGGATGCCAGTGGGTGCTTTTGAAGGGGACATGCCTCTGCCCTCCTCCTGTCCGAACAGCTCTCTCCAACGCTGGGCTGGGCTGGGAATTAAAACGTCCCCAGCCAGGGCGCTGCGTGCCAGCTGGTTGTGTCCCCAGCTCCG